GTTCCCAGCTGCGGTGACTTCCTCGTGCTGCAGAGAGAAGTAGGCCCATCTCCTCCCTCTATAGCCAGGGTTGGATGCAGCTGCAGTAGCATCTGTGAAGTGGGGTGCCAGATGCCAAACCACTGCCCCCGCTCCCCCGCAGGGATGCCCCGCTACCAGGGCTGTGCGTGCCCAGGAAGACCGGCGTCTGTGCTTTTTCACTGCTGAATTCTCCCTGCCGGAGAGAAGGCTAATTAATCAACTCAGCTCTTCTGGCATCACTCAACATGCAAATAGTTTCTGGCAGCGAGGCAGGCACAAAATTAGCTGCTGTATTAAACTGCCATATCCCCTTTCCTCCTTTATTGGCTGCACTTGGTGCAGAGGAATAAAGCATTAACTGGTTCCCAGCGGACCTGAGAAACTATTAGGCCTCTCTCTCCGATGCGTGGAGGAGGAAAATATAGTTTATGGCTGCGATTCCCTTGAAGACGTTCGTTTGACTTTGTGGCACCGGGGATGGAAACAAAATCAAGCATGGAGATCCTTGGCACAACAGGGGAGACTGCAGGCCACTAATAAACCCAGGATTATCAGGTCAGTTGTGCTCCTGCAATACACTGATGTGACTGAATCCTTGCACTGGGTCGAGGCTCGGATGAGAGACTGCCAGCATCCCAGCCAGGCTATCAATAGTGACATCAGGTGCCTACATCTGGACGTGCCCCGGGCTCTGACGTACGCTCCCGAACCGCCTTGTTATGGCAGAATGGCAAATCTTTTGTTAAAGGAAATCATTCATGGCCACATTGATCCTCCTCATGGTTTCTGACCCTCAGCTGATGGGACGGGTGGCCCACGAAGCCAATAAGATGCGCTAGCCGAGGGAGCTGGTCCTTTTGCCAAAAAAACCCAAACTCATCTAGGTTTCATGCTGATGTAAGTCCATCGGACGTCCCCTGCACCTGGAAGTTGCTGAACTTTCTCACCAGCCAGGAAGAAGCCCCGTTGCAGCAGGGTCTGTTTCTGTGCCCTTGCTTTAGGTGAAAACGGATGGATGGATGGATGGACAGATGGATGGATGGATGGATTCTGCCCTGGGTCCATCTACTGTAGCTGCTTCTATAGGCAGCACTCGGTGTATGGGAACCATCTCAGAAAGCCACTCCAGCCCTGGATGGACTTATACCTCTTAGGCACCAGAATTGGGAAACTACAGCTGTGGGACCCAGTTCAGCATCAGTGGGAAAATCCCATGGACTTCCATGGGCACTGAAGCCAACAGGCCTTATTTACCTGTCTTCTCTAAGGATGACCAAGAGGCAGCACCGCGCTGGCCTCTCCAGGCCCTCACCCAGCCACGGGGAGCGACAGGGAAGAGCCACAGGATGGGAGCTCTCATCAGGCTGCTGGCTGTGCAAACCACGCAGTACCAGAGCCCCACTTCCACCGTGACACACCACGGCATCACGCAACACATGTGCAATGCAGGACGAATCCACCCAAGTGACGCCCTTTGGCCTTCTCCCTCTTCTTCTGGGAGAGGTGTTGCTCAGTGGAGGAAAGACGGGATGGGGAGCCGGGAGACCTGAATTCTTTCCTTTCCGCCCGGGTCCCACCTCCAAGTTTCTTCACCCCCTGCATCTCCGTCTCCTCGTCTGCGAGATGGAGACAAGGATAAAATTACACACCCCACTGCAGAGCCACAGGGACCCACTTATTCATCCTTCCGAAGTCCTTGGAGATGAAAGGCACTTTGCTGAGCACAGTATCACCATTACAGTACTAATAATTACAGTAATTAATACGCTGTTTGGCCACCAACATCTGCCCTTGACCCCATTTTTTACATCAAATGCATATAACCCCATGTCTGCAAAAACAAAAGTTGCCAGAATACATCCCCAAAGTATAACAGTGAGGCTTGATTCTCAAAAATAAAAAGGAATCGAGTCATTCCTTGAATGGCCACAAAAATTGCATGGGCTTCTTGTGGTTCAAGATGGATCACCAGTAGCCAAGTGAGAGCTTCCCTGGAAGCTGCAGAGGCTGTCCTGGGATCTGGGAGCTTTCTCCCCGGCCGTTATCGGCTCCTGGTCTCTGCCTCTCCATCTAGCTGTGGTTTTGCAAAGCACCAGCAGTGCAATTTCCGAGCCCCTGCCAAAGCAGCCAAGGGTGCAGGTGCAGACCTCCCTCTTCCCTCCACTCTGCAGGGACGGGGTCTCCTTATGTTGCAGGCAGGTTGCTTTTTTAATTTGATGCCTGCATTTATAATGAGTTCCCTCAATACCTAAGCAAACCCAGAAAATGAACCTGCTCCCTTCCCCTACCGCCACCAGCGCCAGCTAGGAAACAAAGGCATGCCGCCCCCGTGATGCAAGCTGATGTTAGTGGGAGATTTCAACAGATGGGACCAGAAACTAAAATAAACTTCCCTCTCATGGGACTCCGGTTCCTTCTCTTACAGTGCATCGAACCACATCTGGAGTCCTGTGTCCAGCTGTGGGCCTCCACTGCAGAAAGGATGTGGACACATTGGAGAGACTGCAGTGGAGGGCAATGAAAATGGTCGTGGGGCTGGGGGACAGGACTGGTGAGGAGAGGCTGAGGGAACTGGGCTGATTGAGTCTGCAGAAGAGAAGACCGAGGGGGATTGAATAGCAGCCTTCACCTCCCTGCAGGGGGGCTGCAAAGATGGAGCTGGACTGGTCTCAGTGGGGGCAGATGACAGAAGAAGCAATGGGCTCAAGCTGCAGCAAGGGAAGTTGAGGTTGGATATTAGGAAAAACTCTCTCACTAGGAGGATAGTAAAGCACTGGAAAGATTATCTGGAGAGGTGGTGTGACCTCTATTCTTGGAGGTTTTTAAGGCCCTTGGCTGGGATGGTGTAGTTGGGGCTGGTCATGCTTCAGGGGGTTGCACTAGATGTAACCTCCTAAGGTCCCTTCCAATCCTCATTTTTGAGGATTGCATGATGTGATGAAGCATGTGAAGGTATCAGCACCTGCGGTCCGGGAGGAATTATTTAGGGTGGTACAACTTGGAAATTTCCTAATGGGAAGACACAGGTTGCATCTGCCTCAGGTATGTTGGCAATCTTGATTACCAAGTTATCAGAACTTCTCACATCCTTTAATGCCTTTTTCCTCCCAACACCCCTGGGACATAGGATGGTGCAATGACACACACCTGGCAGATCGGGGATTGGAGAACAAATAGTCCAAGGCACAGATCCTCAATCTTATTTGGGTGCTGACAATCCACTGATGGAAGTCAGGCCTGTAAGGAGCGTTGAAGTCTGGAGCCATATGACTTGGCCAATGATATGCAGAGAGCCTGGGGTGGAAGAGGGATCTGAATCAGCAGCGCGTGAGTCCTCGGTACCCTACTAAGAGGATGGGCCAACCCTCTGGAGCTCCCCCTGCACCTACTGTCCATGCAACCTGAATATCTTCGGTATGAATGAAATATTTAAAATTAGACTCCAAAAAACCCCAGCAAATCCTGTAGAAAGAATAATCCTGTAGCGGCAGCAGGGCTGGCTAACCTGACCCCCATCTCTCATTCTCTCCTGCCTTCACCTCTGCTCCCTGAAGCCAGCGAAAAGCAAACCCCAGTGCAGAGACTGGGCACATGGGGCAAGAAGGGGAGGCCTCAGGGATGCAGCTGCCCCTGGGCATCCATGCACCGCTGGGACCCCTCTGCAGATGGCTGCAGTGAGAGATACCCGCTCAGCACCCATAAGGAAGGCGAGAGCAGCCCTGCAACGTGGTCCTGCACAAACCCGAGGAGAAACAGCAAGGGCTCGGCAAGGAGTTCCTCCTCGCTGGGGCTGCTTATCAAACGCGCTATCAAAAGACAGCGCCGTACGATAGGCAGGATGGGACTGAAAGAGCCAAGGGTGCAAGCCAGAGGCCTCGTTCTGCCTCGTGTCGTTATCCATGACCCACGGGAGGTCTGCGGGGCAAGGCTGCGGGGGATCGCTCCAGCCTGGCCAGGATAAAACGAATTGCTTTTCCCAGCACACGCTGTTCTGATCCCACCAGCATGACTTGTATCGGCCACTGCTGACTCTCAGAGAGACCCAGGGCAGCCGGCGATGGGGCTGGCAGGCCTGCTGGGTGCGGGACAGGGCCGTGGAGACGCCTGGCTCCTCCGCCGCTTTGGGACGAGATGCTTTCCCTTCTGCGGTGGATGCAGCTTCGAAAGAGGGAAACGCATGCAAGGCCGGCCAAGAGACGTCTCGGAGGAATGCCGCTTTAACTGAAACCCTCTGCGCTCATCTACTTCAGCGCGCATTTAATGATTCATTTCCCGGCCAGCCAACTTGTACCTTTGTAATCTCTGCGAAGGTTAACTTGTTGATCCCAATAGCCAGTGCCTTAGTGTCATTGCAAAGGCGGGTGGGGGTGGAGGGGGGAAAGGGCTCGAGTTTTGGTAAAAGTCAGGTTGTTGTTGTTTTTCTTGCGGCTGCAGGAGCAAATGGGAAACAGGGCAAGGAACAGAAAGAGAGAGATTTGCAAAAGAAAGGGAAATGAGAAGCACTTGGGGTCTGCTTCCAACTTTTTTAAAGGCAGATTGTTAGAGGAATTCAAACGTATTGGTCATTAAGAAATAGTGCCACACGGACATAAAGCTTAACGTTGGTAGTAATCAAAATTATTTCCTGGAGCTGTTGGCAGTGCTATATCCAGCTCCCCGATGGAGAAGACTCGAAGTGCTCTGAACTCGGTGCGAATAAACCCCCCATTGAATAATCAGCGTATAAAATGAACTTTTCCAGCCAGGAGGTTTTACCACCTTCAACTCTCCTATGAAATACGAACTTTCATTTCTACCCAGGAGAACTTTTACCACCTTTTCTCCAATGCCTGAAGAAGGGTTTCATAGTTTCATAGTTTCTAGGGTCGGAAGGGACCTGAGCAGATCATCTAGTCCGACCCCCTGCCATGGCAGGAAAGAGTCTGGGGTCAAACGACTGGGGTGTTTGTGCCTAAAAGCTTGCAAATATATATATATACTTTTTTTGCAAAAATCTATTTGGTCTAATAAAAGATATCACCTCGACCATGAGTCCGGATTGCTTTGTCCCTTCCTCTTGAAATCTAACTGATTACAGCTGGCTGCAGCTTTTATCATTATTATTTTAAATGACTTAAGACCTGGGAAGTCCCATTGGACTTGTTCATCTCAGTAAAGAGTTAAAATTCTCCTAGCCATTTTAGGTGGGGTCGCGAAAGAGAAAAGCAAAGAGGAAATCCAATTCTTCAAACTAAGAGTGAAAACAAACTGAAGGGAAAAAAAAACCCCCAAACCCCCTCCAAAAGGTGGGAAAAGAAACAAAAGCCCCTCCTCATAACTTGGCAGTCGCTACATGATGCTGCTATTGATATATGGGATTTAAATAATCGATAACTCCATCAATGCCTACATTAACACTGTAATGACTAGTATAACATTTTAAAAAAACAGTTTCTGGTCCGGTAGATACAAAAAAGAAACTCTCAAATATAGTTTGCCATAACCCTCTCTGTTTTTAAAAGGCAAGGCAGAGATCCGAAAAATTTCCAGAGACAAACAAGGCAACAAATGCTTTCCCCTGCAGTTACTCATCTATTCCAATCAACTAACTAAATTCTTTAATAATTAGTGAATCCGAACTGTTCTGACGATTCAAAAGCACATAAAAAACTAAGCATCGATATTTTATTTGGAGGAAGGAAATGAAAGGCAGATAATGCTAACTCGGCACAGATGTCCAACAAGTTATATAAAAAAATAACTGAAAAATAATATGTTTAAAAAAAGAAATCCGGGCCCCATCCAAGCCCCTGGCATTTAATGGGAGTCTCCCTTTTTATTTCAACAAGCTCAGAATCAGGCCCTTTGTTTCTGCAGGAAACAGGCTTAAACTTTTAACTCCCGAAGTTTTCCTTCTGGGATCAAAATGTTTTCCACTTCTGACATTTAGTAGCGTGGACCTGTGAGGTTTCGGGCAGAGCTGGAATAGAGAAAAAGAACGCTAATAAGGAATCTGAATTAAGGGCTGCCTTTGATTTATTCACTTTTTCTGGAAAAGCCACCGCGTGTTATTAGAGACTTGAACCATCTCAGCATTTTTCTTATCAGGAATACATCTTCTGGGGTTACTGAGGTTTCTGCTATTTTCTTTTAACCTCATCAGGTGGAAGTTGAGATGCATGCTTAAAAAAAACAAACCCAAACAGCCAATTTTAGCACCACTTACTTGAATACGTGAGGAGCTTTGAACTCTCACCAGTCACATATTTCATATTGTCAAATGTAAGAAATGGCCAAGTTCAGAAATACATTTATGTACGTGTAAGCACGCGATGCATTCATGTAGGTGCATACAGATGTATCTAGGTCTGTCTTTTAAGTATTTATGCATTTCTTCTGTCTTTTAGGATACTTTTACACAGTTTATAAATAGGAGAGCAGGCATAGAATAGGGAGGATGAAATCTGCATTTGCATTTGAAGATGTTGGAGCTTGTATTTTTCCGGCAGGGGTACATAATGCTCCCAGGGGTATGTGTTAATCTCCTAGAGCGTACATGAGAGGAAGGCATAGGAAAGCATAAGAAGGAAAAGGGATAAGCTAAAGGGAGGATGAAGAAAATCCTGAAGAGCAACTCTTCAATATTTCTTAGGTAGTCGGAAAGATAACAGTGTGGCTGAAGGGACATGAAATATTACTTTACTATCCGTCGCATGAAAAATCTGAAGGGCACAGGCAAATTAATTTAACTAGCCTCAAAAGAGGTATACCCCCCCCCAAAAAAAAATAAAAAACAGTTTGAGAACCACCGTTACAGATCAATAGTACACAGTCCTTGCAAACTTCTCTCGCTGCATGTGAGCCACTACATTTTTCTACTAACTTGTCTCACACGCACATACATAATCACAGACTTTGGTCTGTAACTGGTTAAAAATTGATTGCGGGGGGGAGGAAAGGGAGGAGGATAATTATCTGCGATTGGCTGGATGCCTACTAGACTCTAGGTCTGAAGTTTATCCCCTTCTTTTTCATACCAAAGATCGCGTACATAGGGCCAAACTCTGTGATGTTCAGTGGCACAGAGTGGAGAGCAATCAAAAGCCTTGCATATTCGTTTGTACATATAGATAATATTTATTACACCAGATAGTAAGTATTTGCAGGATCAGACAGGCAGACAAACAGGCAGGAAAAAAAAAAAGTGGCAACAATCCTCCTCCCACACTTATGCTGAGAAAATCATTTCTGACACACAAGTTCTCACCGTCGCTCTCCCCGTAAGGGTGGGAAGGTGGATTTGTCAATAATGACAATTGCATAAGAATATGTCTGTAATATCTCTGTTTCACTCAACGCGATGATCCCGTCGCCAGATGTGAGCCAGCCCTGTTATGTGACCCAGTTCCGGGTACCCGGAGTCCTTCAGTGATGGCATTGAAAATATCCTTTGTGTGTTTCAACGGCACTGAGACGATCCTTTGGATTGGAAATAGCAATCCCAAACCTCCATGATCCCATGTGAAGTGCCCCCCACCTTGACATGTGAAAATATAGGGGCGCCTGTGTGTGGGGGGGTGTATTACACGCGTGAAACCGGTAACGCCGCTCCAGCGTTGCTTGTATTTGGGGGCCTGAGTGAATACCACCTCCAGTTTGAAAGTCAAGGGAGATTCTCAGCCGCTGATCTACCTGTCTGCCCGCCTTGCCCCCATCCATCCCTTCGTCCAGCTGGAAGAGCAGCCTCTCCAGCGTGCTCCCAGGGAACGGGGGGATGCTGGTTGGCATCTCGCACTGTCGACAGGTTTCTGCAGGGGGGAGGACTTAAACTAGAAGCGCTCTCCGCCGTGGGCCCACGAATGGAAAAGTACCCGTGCCGTCCCCATGCACATTCTTGGGCTCTGAGTGAGACGAGGCGGGCAGCCTTCAGAGCTGGTTCAGTGCGGTCAGGTGTACCGAGGGCGGTATAAGAGCCAGGCCCCGGCATGCCAATCAAGTTTTTCCACTTCCAGCCCTTTCACCAGAGGTAAGGACCCGGCCAGATCACAAACATTCAATTAAAGCTCAAAATAATAATGATAATGAGCATAACAATACCCCCCCGCCTTCCTCACTGGAGCTAACAAGCCTTTGGGTCTTCCTCCCTTGTTCTGCTCCAAGCCCGGCTGCCTCTTCTCCTGGCACCGAAGGGAAATACCGTTCTGTACGCAAGGACCCGAAAAGCAGCAGCAATGGGGGGCCGTTTACTTAGCTCCTGGAAGCTGGTTGCAAGGTAAAGCTTCTGGGAGCAGGAAGGCTGTTGTGAGGCCTGCCCTTTGCAATAAAAAAAAAATACAGAGATTTCAAATATTTAAGAGACTCAAGTAAAACTAGCGTGGGATGAAAGCAGGGTGTTGAGGCTGCTTGCTCTGTGAAGTTCAATCGTGACACTTCTGTTCGCTAAGGATCTTAGCTTCGGACCGGCACCTTTAACCCTTTAACAGTGCGGGCTTATAATCTACCTCCAAACTTCTAGCCTAGGTGCAAAAAGAGGGACGAACTAGGAGGAACAGGCACGCATGCACAGACAGCAGTCAAATGCAAAGTGGTAAACTCGAATACTTTGTTATGATGATGCAAAAAAAAAAAAAAAAAAAAATGAAGTCGCGATCATGTGATTTTATGCAAATCGAGTGAATGGACGGTTAAAAACTAAATGTCAGGTAGATAAGATCACATACACCTAGAGCAGCGTCATGATATTCTCTGCACGTTACATTCATACTGGAAACCAAACCGTGTTACAGAAATCAGACACCCACAAAAGGGCTCAGAGATTGCACTGAAAACAGGTTTCTGCAAAGCACCAGCCTCTGACAAAAAAAAAAGTAGGTTAGATGAGAAAACAAGATAATGCGAGCGAGCCAGGGAATACACTGTCCCTGAGCAGTGTGCAATCCCACCTTATTATATAAGTTTACGTGCACAAAACTGCCTTGAAATAACATTTGTGATCCAACCCAAAGCTCTTAAAAAGGCAGGGCTTGGCTGATAATCCATCTTTAACTGCTGTGAGTAAGGAGTCATATAGGAAAAGTCTTTTCTTAAAGGAGAATTTTCTGCCCTTGCCACTTAAAAAAAAAAAAAAAGGAAAAAAAAAGCCCTGGGGGCTGTTTATTTCTGTATGTATGTATTTATTAGACATAAAGCCATTATTATGCACTAGCTGGCTATCTAGGGAATGAGTAGCACTGACTTCCTGAAGGAGCTAATTACAATAACGTAACAAATAGTCATTTTTAAACAGAGGTTTATTTAAAACCGGTATTGCTCAGAGCCCTTTGGCTACCTAGACTTCATCCGAGACCTGACCCAAAAGATTTTAACACCCAGGTGACGTAGCCCGAACAAGTCCGTAGAAAGAAAGGTTCGTTCTCGTCCTCGAACAGTATTTGAACAAGCCGGGTGGAGAGGATGCTGTTAACCAGTCATGCTAAGAGCTCAGATGAGTACCCCCCACTTGTTACCTATGCTGGCAGAAATGCACAGCAAATTTGGGGGGGGGGGTTTAAAAGAATTACTGAAATAACCAAATAACTTTTGTTTTTAGAAAAATAACTGAAAAGTAACATTTTCTAAACTGCAGGAACATCTGTTTCAGGGGGGAGAACAGAATTCCCTGTGCCGACGGCGCTATTAGACTTAATGATCTCAGTGTACCTTCAGGACCGTGGGAGATGCAAAGGTCCCAATCTACAAACCTCGCTCTTATTGATCCAAGACATCGTCAAAGGAGCTGTGCCGGCCTGTCGCATACATTGACTCCTATATGTCGATGCAGAATTTGGGCTCCTATGTCACACAGCTATGGAGGAGGATCTAGCGAGGGTGGCTCTACATGGAGAGCAAAGGGAGGCGAGGGCCCAGACTGGGGAGCAGATGCACGTGTAAAGCAGGTCAACATTCAGTGCGTTTTTCTACCCTGTCCACCATCGCGTTGCAAGGAGCACTTTCCTTTTAAAAATGAAGCCAGTTCCTGAGCTAAAAGGAGCGGCGCAACCTATTCTACCGCAGCACAACTTTCTCGCCCTCTCGCAGGCTGCGACTAGAAACCTGGCCTGGGCTTTTCATATCACTCGCAGAGCCAGGACATGGAAGGCCTCGTCTTACTCTGCAGTGCCTCCCCGGCCAACGTAGGCGCTGCAAGAACTTCACGTTGCCCTTCCTATGCTGGGTATTACACTCCCTGTGTAGCCTCAGAAGTCCCAGTTCAGTATCTGGAGAGGAAACACCAGTGGCGATGAACGGAGGTTTAGGTGCGCACGAAACACGTGTTCAAGGCATAGCAGCTGGGTGAGGGTGAAGCGAAAGCATGGGAAAGCACAGGATCGCACAGAGAGGAGGAAGATCACACAGGCACCCCAAGGGGGAAAAAAAATAATGGATATAATCTACCCAGTGCTTCCAGGCTTGGCACCTGAACACCAGTTCCCAGCCCAAAGTGAACGCTCAGGGCTGATTTATAAGTCCCTGTAAACAGGGGGTTTATAATGGAAACGTTGATGCAACCCTAACACTTGGCAGAGTAAAGGCATACCAAGATCTCTGCTCTGCGAGGTGCCAATTTTAACAGCCGTCCTGATAAATCATCAATCGGACAAAAAAATCTTCTCCACTTCCCAACTTTCTGCAAACATTGCCTTCAGCCGCCACCGTCGAAGACTCAGGCTGTGCGAAGGGGGGAGCAGGAAGGGGATCTTTAAAAAAATGAATTAATAAAGGCACGATAAAAAAATAAAAGCGAGCTTGGCATTATACTTATCGTATCATTTGTTGCTGAGTCCACTTCTATGACACCAGTAATTTTGCTAAAGTGGGTAAACAAGCTTTCTATGTCCCCAAGAGCTTAGAGTCTAATAAGTAAACGCTATGCTCACTCTGAATTATATATATTACTTTCCAACTACAAAGGGAAACGTCTTTAAAGCTCGTCTGCATCATCTCAAGTATCATCTTAGTCTGATTCCTACTCCTTACTGGGCTATTTTTAATGACAGATGCGGGCTATCGGTTACAAGGCTTTCCTCCTATTTTGTTTTAACACAGTGCTGAGTATTTCAGCCTGGGCACTTTGCTGAGAAATTTAAAAAAAAAAACAACCCTCAGGAAATGTTCAATAACTTTGCATTCAGGCTGCAGATTTCTTGGAATTCTTGGTAATTTAATCAGTCGCTCTAAGCAATTTGATTAGCCGGAGCTAGGGCACAGTGACCCTGCGGTGGTGATTCTTGTAAACTAATTTCTATTAATTGGAATAAACCTGAAATGCTATCGGAGTCACAAGCCTTCCCCCCCACCACCCCTTTCCTCTCTGTCATGCAGAAGAGGAATTTGAAATCCTCTTACCCCCCGGACATTCAGGCGGTGGGGAAAAATAATAATAATACATGCAAATTGAAACAGAAATCTGCTGAGATATTTTAAAACACACCCACCCGAGCCAGGCCTGAGTGAATACACGGCACAAGTAAATATGCAATTTGTTTGCTTTTTTAACACAGATATTTACATAAAGGGTCATTAGAATAACACTTTGTCACTCTCCCTCCCTCCTCCCCCTGACACACACCCACAAATCTATTTGTAAGACGGTCTTTACATTTTCCCTGGTGCCTGAAGCTTCCTCCAATGGCCACAGCAGGCCTTTGCAGCTCCCTCCCAAGACCTCCGAACTAAACATGGGCTCCGGCGACTCAAAATCAAAAGTCTCCCACTTACAAGGAAAATCAAACATCTATTTTGCATACAATCATAGATAAGACATACTGTACATCGCAGCTATAGCACGACAGACGCTTTCCCATGTCCTTTGCAACCAGACAGCAGCTACAAAGAATTAACCCACCACTTAAAAAGAGTCCTGGAAAGGGAGAAAGAGCGAAAAAAAAAAAAAAGAAAAGAAAATTTAATCCTCCGAGTGTGGGTTTTTTTTTCCAAGGGCAAGTATATTCCTCCCATTAAAAAGCAATGCCCCCAAAAAGGGGGGGAAAAAATAAAGCGTATCTATCAAGAAAAAAAAACAGAACAGCTTCTTTCCTCCTCAACAACAAATCCCTTTAAGCATGAGAGCAGACAAGAGATATAAATACATACATTTAAAAAAAAGAAAAAGATGATTGTGCAAAAAAGCCCAAACAAACCAACAACACACACAAAAAGAGAGACTCCAATGTCGCAGGATCCTGGGGTTTTTTTGGTTGTTGTTTTGTTTTAACCAAGAAACTTGCACCAAAAAAGAAAAATAATAATAGTAAAAAAAAAAAAAATCAAACCAGGAATATGAGTCGAGTCTAATTCTGAACGGTTCTTTCCTCCCTTCTGCCTGCCTGCGATTTTATCTGCCTCTCTTCCTTCTGCATTTTTATTGGTATGTTGGTTGGCTGGCTGCTGGCTTTTTTGGTTTGTTGTTGGGTTTTTCCCCCCCTTTCCTTTCTTTTCCTGCCTTAGGGGGGGAACAAAAAAAAGGCACAAAAAAGCCCCGACCCACGCCGCCCCGCTTTGCACGTCCTAAGCCTCTGTCCCTCGGTTATTTGGACGCGTGTGTTTGTGCTCGTGCCCGGGTGTGTGGCGGTGTTTATGGGGCTTTCATGGAGCCGCGACGCCCCGGACCCCGATTTCTCTTATGTCACCGACTAGCAAATGAGTTCTCAGAATTCCAGGGGCAGAACCCTGCAACATTGTAGCGCGCCGACGTCAC